AATCGTTTAATGCAGGTACTAACTACAAAATAACAATAAATCCAGTTCGCATTTATGACGATGTATCTCTGTAGTTGTTCGTAAAATAATTTTTTGCTGCGAACTGGTTTATTTTGGGCAAAAAACTCAGGAGTCATTTTTTGTTTAGAATGAAACAGGCTATCGAAAATACATTTTCAAATGGTAAACAAATGATAAGAGAAAAAGTTATATTGAAAATAAATTTTAGGGGTTGCGTTTTCCACCCCTCACAACCATGGGGTAAATCATATAAATTACTGGCTAAGTGTCTTTTTGGTAGTACAAAACGTCAGGTTAATTTCAATATTGTAACTTTTTCAGTGCTTGGGAAAAAATTGTTATACAAATTTTATGTACCCCCTTTAAGGGGCTGTATCTTAACAAGGGATGCTCCAATGAAGTTTCTTTATAAGAAAGATCCTATCTTTTTTTTGATGAGGAATCACGTCCTTAATTTTTTTACACTTATTCAGTTACACCCTGTATTTAAAACTCATTAATACAGTTTACTGTATAATTTTCACTATAAAAGGTTTTACAGAAACTGTAACATGTGTTCCTAAAGCGTAAAATTTTGCGCTTGAGAAAGCTATTGTATAGCGAAACACGTGTCGCGGTTTTTGTAAAACCTTTTATAGTGAAAATCAAACAATAAACTATAATATTGAGTTTTAATACTTATTTTCATCAAGTATCTGCCAGTATCTATTCAATTTCTAATATATATTTGCTCACCTGCTCGGAACAATTGTCACTTCTACATTCAATGAAAAACCAAATAAAATTCGTCGTATGTGCAAATACCATCAGTGTGAGAAAGTATTGAATCAAAATCCAACATAAACGGTTCTGTTGAAATATTTCAAGTTTTCTTCTCATCAAAAATAAGTAGTAAAGTCTCAAAAAGGTAGTTGTTCTAAAATAGCAAACAAAGAAGCTGTATCGTACTTCAAAAAGTGGTATGAAGAGCGCAATTTGCGGCAAAATAGAAAGACCGTCTAGAACAAGAACAAATATGGTCTTCATGGGAATCTTGGCAACATTCCCAACTTTATGCGATAGTAAGATAGTGAAATTGCAAAGGTAAAGTATGTCAAAAATGGCATAAAAGGGTATGAAGTCCATTGTCTTCCTTGGGGCATGAGTTAGATTGATGGTGACCAGAATATAATTCAAAATAACTGTACTCAGAATAACGGCCTGAAAAAAAGTATTTTAAACAGTTAGCAGGGCATGTCATATGATTGAATTACGTTCCAGGTGCTGTATTCCGTCAAATTCAGTAATATGACAAATAGTTCATTCCATTTTGATTTCTTCGATGATTTTAGTGAGATTTTGACTGCAACACTATTTTTGGTATCACAAAACATGGTTTGGGCAAGCTCAGACATTACACAACACTGCAGTTATTGATATAAGCATTCGACAATTATATATGTCATTATGACAGTGTCTTTTCCAATAGAGTATATAGGGCGAATGTACTGCTTTGAGAATATTTTAGAAAAGAGCTCTTTCAACACTGAAAAATTTAATACGTTAGGCAACTCCCCAAAAAAACACTATAGTACCACTATACTCCGTCCATCTGAGCACTGGAATGCTCCAAAACCGAGAAAAAGCGGCTAGTACAGAGTCGCACTAAGGAACGACCGATTTTTTTTTTAATAATATGCGGCTGGGTATTTGAATGTTATTTAGGTGGAGTGTAGGACACAAATCAGCAGTTTCTTCAACATATCAGTACTTGACATTTGGAAAATTTCAAACTTCAAAATATCGTACATGTACATACCACAGGCGATAAAACGTAACTGACCACTTCGACACTAACATGAATTTCGCCAGCCGATTGCGGTTCATTCTGATTGGCCAGCGTAAGAAGGCTTGTTTATTTTACCCAATAGATGCAAATGTGCGTGGTGATCATGCCTTGATCACGCATCTATCCTTGGGTTACTTTGTTTGTTGGATTGATATAGTTTTAGTTTCAATTCAATTGAAGGGCTATTGAAAACTCACAATTTATGGATTCTATAACATAATGGCCTTCCCGCCATATGTAACTATTACTGAGAACTAAAACTTTCTAGCTAGTGAAAGTTCCATATTTATACTAATATTGTTCGGTTTGGGACGCACGAGATGCAAATTTATGAGGCAATCCTCTTAAGATTCTGGTTATTCTGAAAACAGAAATAACACTCGTCTATTCATTACATTACCATCTTCTCAAAGTGAATCTATCCAAGATGAATTATAATATGGATCTTTCAATTGTATATCAACGACTCATTGGAAAAAACCAAGAATCCAATATATTGCTTTGCTGACGACAGCACACTTGTTTCGTCATTCCATTTGTATTCCAGGACATGTGCGACGGATATACATATCTTCACCGATAGCAGGAGGTTGCATATCTTATAGTTCGTTCAGTATTGTCTGAGAGTAAAAGAATTTCAAGAATGCAAACATGTCGCTACATCAAAGAAAGCAACATAGTCGTCTCAAGCAAATAGCACTGCAATTCACACACAAAATCATTGATATATGTCTACCCTTTATATCCCTTGATGACGCCGCTAACGAGCCATTAAAATAGGGATATGCGACAAAGAACGCGAGAACACCGACAAAGAATGCGATCAAATTCGTCATTAACTTGTATCCATCAATTCAATAATTGTGAATATTTTTATATAAATTGTTTCTTTTAGAATTTCAACATTTTCAATTTTTAAAATCCGAAATCTGCTATCAATACGAAATCTGTCTCCACCCTTTTTCAACATAACCCAGTTTAAATGGATAATAAAACTGGATCCTCTGTCGTCGAATGAATTCAAGACAAGTACTTTTCCCAATCACCAGAAATGCATGACTCTTTTCGACGCGCGTTCGTTCCACCAACCAAGTTGGCATTTTCAAGAGATGAAGAAAACTGAAGACGCCAACTTGGTTTTTGGAACGCACCTAGAGAAAAGTTTTGCATTTCTGGTGATCGGAAAAAGTGCATGTTGTGGATAACCCAGTTTGATTAAGAATATAGAATGAATGTGTCATTGGGAAAAAATTAATCTCCCAGTTTGCTTATACAGTGTGTCTGCTTAAGTTCGCACCATATGGAAAACTTGTTTTATTAATTTCACGAAAAAGAGTTATTTTTTATGAAAAGTTCTCAAAAAATATGAATATGGCTCAATAGTAAATTATCTTCATTTTTGAGAATATTTAAAATTGTTATAAAGAAAAGTTGATAGGAACTGAAAACTACCTTCAAATATGCAATTACATTAAATGGAAAAAATATTTTTTATTTATTTTTTTTCGTTCACATTGACAATGCAATGTAACTGAAGTTTCGTGAAATTTAGGATGCACTGATAATTAAATGATTTGTTGATAGCAAACATTTTTTGATAATGAACGTCAAATGAAATTTGTTAACATTGCCGGTGATATTTGGTGTGGAGGAAAAACTGGAAATTGTGTTTATCGTTAGCGATAATTATAGAACTTATCGTGAAGCAGCTGGAAATTAAACACCACATATCAGTAATGAAAATTTTGAAAAAAATCTAATCATGTAAAGATGTTAATAATAAATTCACAAACCAACGTCGAAAACCTGTTGCAAGTGAGAAGAAGAAGTTGAATGTAATATTACCTGCAGTGGAAAAACCTAAATTGTCCCTACGAAAAAGGGCATCTTCGCTTCAAGATAAAATTGGTGAAGATACAATATCCAAAATTTTTAAAGAGAATAACTTCCAATCAAATAAACCACAATATATCCATACGTTGAAACCTGGAATCTGTGACAGAAAAGCTAGAAGACGATTCCTTTTGGTTAGCTACATGAAGCTAACGAAGCTACATTCACGTGTAATTTAACAGTCTTCGCAAAATTGTCGATGATGGACTGATTTCAATCCTTAATTGGGACATTTTTTCGATAAACTATGACTGGTTAACGATGTCTAAATTTTTTACAAAGTCTGTTACATGATTGCATGGTCGGTCGATAGCCAGGCGGTTCGACGTGGGTGCTATGTTCACTCAGTATTCCTGAGACAATTTCAAGAAAAAAAGTCTATATGAACTTGTGTCCGAAAATGCTTCGTTTCGGAGATACAGGGTGTCGAAATTTAATTTTTTTGTTCGCTTTTTGAAAATAACTCTTGCAAAAAATAAGTTATTTGCACGAAACTCGGTACCCGGGTTTTTTTGACGTGGGAAATCATAATTTCGTATTAAACTTCATGTAAAATCTAGAGGGCGCTGCGTACGCTGTCATTATTTATTTCAAATTGCCCTAACTTTTTTGACAGTAAACTGAATTTGGAAAAAATTATTACGGAAACAATTCAGGATATAACTCCGAATATAATTAGAAAAGTATTGAGGGATTTTTCTCCTGCAACGGAAACTTGTCTTGTAAGAGAAGTCGAATATGTTGAAACAATGGTAAATTGATGATAAACTATTACACGCTTGGAAAGAAAGGTTTTGGCTTTCTACTTCTCCATCTTTATACAAAAAAATATGGGAATCTTCCAAAGAAAGGAAGGAAGCAATCAGTTTCAAAAAGTCAAATCGATACAAGGATGTGTAGGTCATGCAAAGAAGTAACTTTCAGACACAAACTGAAAGAAAAGCCCTCTCAAAACAGCTACTTCCATATAAATATTGAATTACATGAATTGAAATTTTTTTCGAAACAGTGAATTTTACAAAAAAAAAATTTTTCTCTATTCAATTTGTATTCCGAACATTCATTTTGGGTTTTATTCAGATATCATTCACAGGATTCCTACACTATATAGTGAATGGAAAAGGTAAAATTTCACTTGCATGGAACACTGTCATCCTCACTGATGTTTCGCCGTGACACACTTGCCTTATGAGCTCTTCAGTACCAAATCTGATTAAACTTTTCTTATAATGTTGTCCAGATTTGGTACATTTCTTATAATGTTACAAAGATTTGGTACTGAAGGACTGATAAGGCAAATATCTTACGGCGAAACATCGGATGTCTACCAGTGAGGATGACAGTGTTCCATGTGAATGAAATTTTATATCTTTCATTTAGCATATTGTGAAGGAATCCTGTGAATGATATCTGATTAAGTTTGATTCAGTCATCCTCACTGGTGAACATCCGATGTTTCGGCCTGAGACAATTACCTTATCGCATCTTCAGCACCAAATTTGGATAACATTATAAAAATAAGCACTCCATTCATGAAATCATGACTTTATATGTCACGAACTACTTCAATCTACTCATATCAGCGACAGTACGTAATGACGTTCATCGCCATTTTTTATTAAATCTCAACCACAAAAATCTTGATTGAATTCAAAGGAGAGACTAATTTTTGGAAAGGAAGGTTTTGACCCTCTCGAAACAGCTACTTTTGAATTACACGCATAATTCAATTTGTGTCTGAAAGTTACTTCTTGGCATGATCTACACATCTTTGTATGGATTGCATTTTTCCTTTCTTAGAAAGATTTTCATATTTTTTTGTATCAAGATGTAGAAGTAGAAAGCCAAAACCTTTCTTTCCCAAAAAATCAACCTCTCCTAAAAATATACCCCTTTCAATTTAAACACATGCAATTAACATTATTAGCACTGTATTTATGTTGCCAATAATACCTATTGTAAAATAAATTATTTTGTTGTGTATAATCTTTTTTCAATGCATCATTAAAATCATGCAACATAGATGTTGAGAGACGTAAAAATTATCAAATTTTTAACGAATCAAGATATACCAGACAAAAGTTTCCGATATTTTCAAAAATTAATTTACTTTGCTGTTGGATAAAATCGATATTTTGAGACTAATACAAAATTTATATCTAATGGTTGCCTTTTAGATTTATGACAATGCAGAACTTTTTATGAAAAACATCTTTTTTCGTAAAATTATTAATAAGTAAGTTTTTGATGTGGTGAGAACTTAAGCAGAAACAATGTATATTGAATACAATGGGACACAGGAAGTACCTTGAGGTACACTACATTGAAATACTTTATATTCGCTGATTCTGTAGACAATTTTAACCAACTGATTTTTCTCATTTGGGAAGCTTTACAATAACGTTACCCAACTCCACAAAAACCAAAATTCAGTAATTGTAGAAGTAATTCGTGGTTGACTGTGCCAAAAAATCTAACAAATGTACTAAGAGTGAGTGAGTCTTTATAAAATATAATTGGTCATATTGCAAAGAACACTTTTTATTGAAATACCTCTTCTGATTTTCGTTGTAGATTTTGTTTTTTCAATGTAATTTTGAATTCGAACTTTCAGTGTTTTTCGAAAACTTTAACCAAAAGCAAGTGTGACAGACCTAAAAGTTTCAATATATTTTTTTGTTCCAAGCGTTAAGTATCAGTTTTGAAATTTTTTTTGGGTATACTCGTAATCCACTCCAAAATATGCAACTGCTAAGATGTGCTAAATCAATGGTCTTCCTGTGAGTTCGAAATTTCTGAATTTCCATACTATTTAGTTTTTCTGACATTCAAATTATGTCTGTTTAAAATCAGTTTTTCCGTTAACCAGCTGTCGCACCCCTGTGAACGACAACCCTCAAAAGTCGAAACTTGTGCGAGCTAAGGTTAACGAGGTCATAACTTTCAACGTGGGATTCCTAACACGGGTTGGACGATAGCAAGTGAAAATAGATCGTTCAGACTGGGGCTTGAACCACCGACCAACACGGCAGTCAATTCAAGTGAGTGAACAAAGCATCCACGTCGAACCGCCTGGCTACCGACAGACTTCATATATACTATACTTCTTTCTTCAAATGCTTGTTGATATTATCATTTATATGATGTTTATATGATGTTTGCTATCTTCATTTCACGCCAGAGCTTTCAAACTTCACTCATCAAACTGATGAATACATTAGCTAATATAGTCAATCAAAACAGCTAAATAAAAAACTAATGTACCAGGTCTGATAAATTTACTAGTTTATACCATATAAAATAATAAACTGTATTGATTAGTTGTTTAATATGGATTTTCATCAAGTATCGGCCAGTTCTATTCAATTATAAAAATAATGATTAGACTTCCTATGAATTTACCACGCTCCCCCCTCAAATGCCATACAAAATACAAAGGAACGTCCGACGTTCAAAAATTATTTAGTTTTTATGACATTCAAATTGACTTCGTAAAATATACTATACTTCCTTCTTCAAATGCTAGTTGATTATATATTTTATATGATGTTCGTCGTTACAATATATCTTGATAAATTTCCTAAGAAACCTTAGTTATTATATTAGAATGTTACCTTTTGAATAAAAAATACTTTATGGTAGTCACGATTCATCATATACCACGATAAACTGCTGACTAACCATGTAGCAAGGCCTTGACCAACGATGATGACGAAAATAAACAGGAGCACCTCGTGGAAATTTTTCGGTAACATCCCACCAAATCCAACATTTAGTAATACTTGTACTGAAGCATAAACATGACGGAAATACCATTCTGTTGGATCCTTATAAACTTTTCTTGAGTCGTAAGTGTAAAGCTGTGGAGCAAAAAAAGTGAAATGATATACTGGAGACAATATTATCTCACTATTATATTTTTGCAAACATGTGAACAAGCTGTCAAAATATCAATGTTGGATACATTTTACGGAAAAATCCTCACTTTCAGTACTTTTTGATAAGAAAGGCAATATTGTTAATGGTAAGGTTGGGGCCTTGTGATATTTCGTTAAATATGATTCATAACGTATATCGCGAGTACCTACCATCAAAAAATGGCTTTTTCTTGTTTATTTTTATTTACATTTGAACAAATTGCTGAAAGGGATCCGTATAATAACTACTTAATTTTCTATTGTTTCTCGTTTTGGTAAACTGGATACCACAAGTAAAAGTACAGAATCTTAATTATTTTGGGTTATGATGGGTAATATCTTCGAAAATGCTATCGACTGATGACTTCAAATTCGTGTGGATCTTACTAGCCCATCCAAATTTTTTGGTTCTATGATTTCCTACTTCTACTAATCATATTTTTCAAGCATTTATGAATAATTTGATATTCTTAAGTAGGTAGTTTCATAAATAAATTCAAGTATTCTACTACTTCAACTTACTCATATCATCAGCGACAGTACGTAATGACGTTCACATCTTTGTATGGATTGCATTTTTCCTTTCTTAGAAAGATTTTCANTTAAATTTGACGCGTTTCGGAATTTTGTTGAAATATGTACCGTAACCGAAATAATTAATTTATTTCATTTGGCTTTTACACACTGTATAGACAATAAAGTTCAGTCTTCCGTCCAAGTGGTTTTATTTAAGATGTTAGGTAATAAATTCGTTAAATTTAACGTAATGAATTCAAAATCAGGGAATATCCAAACCATTAGAGATTAATTGTTAAAGAACTACCAAAAATTACTAACTACTAAATATCATTCAGCTGTTCAAACTAGAAAAGCAGGATAAATTTAATTAGAGCTTTTTCTACGAAAGACAAAAACAATACAAACGTCAGCGATTACGCTATTAGGTATAAATACTGCTTTGACTGATATTCAAGATAATTTTAATGCGTATGTCCGATCTCGTCTGGAATATGGCAACCTAATCTGGTCACCTGCGCATATAGATCAACTCGAACAATGCGCATATAGATCAACTCGAATCTTGTGTGACAATATGCAATCTTGTGTGACAATACGCAAACCTTATAGGACGAAATTGCACGATTGCGCCAGAAAGATTATATAACACGTCCCCTTCAACACTTAGGGCCACGCTATGAAGGAGACACGTTTCGGAAAGACTTTCCTCGAGAGTTTCGTAATAATAGTAATGATGGTAAATTCCGGAATAACCCTCGGAAGCGAAATATAAGCGTGTGCACGCTTGAACCCCATAATTTAGACGTTTTCGATTCGGAAAACTTGTGAAAATTCATCGATGAGGTCCGGCGGTGACTATTTTGGAACGGACCAAAGAAAAAGATGTGTGTAGTAATTCTTATCCAGTGGAAAGCCTACTCAAAGGGGAATGTGATTTTCCACATCAAAAATTGAAATTCAGATCTTTATTAATTAAAATATGCATAGGTAATTTATAATTTCCTGCTTTCGAAGTTTTTTGTATTTCATTGGAAACATACGAACAAATTTCAAAGACTTAACTTTTTTCAACGTCAGTGGTATTCGTATCTCTGGAGCATTCAAAGCAAGGCAAAAAAGGTTTCTGAAATAAGTTTTTGTGCCGTTCGCACTGAATGACTTCCATTATCAGTTTGAGTTTTCAGTGATTCAGGAACTTATTTATCCGGTTATTATTGGAATCGATTTGTTGAGAATTTGCCATGCAAAAATTTAAAAACAGTTAGTTTTAAATGAATTGCAATACAAAGTGGAAATGAAATACATTTTTTTCGATAGTTTGTATATTTCTATAGAAAATTCAACCTTTTACATTTCTCAAGATTGAAATTACATTTACGGTTGTCGGTAACAACTTAGTGTGTGTCTGTATAAAGATGAAGTTAATTCCAACCGTGCAAACCAGTTCAAGTACACATAATTTTCAGTTCTTCTTCAAAATTGTATCCATCAACTTCAAACGAATATTAATTTCTCCAGTATTATATCCTTTGAATCATCATTTCAACAAGAAATAAAGAAAATATTTCAATATCTACTCTGTGATATGCAATATTCTAAAATGCATTCATCTATTATTGTTCACTTCAAATCAATATGTTGATTGATATTTTGTATAGTTTCTTCAAGATGGAAAAATCCAAGAGTCATAAAATCAGAGATGTAGGTAATGCTTATTCGAATTCCTTATTTATCCGAATATATCAAACATAGTTAATATTTAATCAAAGGAGCTGCCGGCATTGGTGAAGTTCATCCATTAGCCGTTATGATTTTTCACTCGTTCAGGTGTTCTCTACAATAAAAAATGGAAATAGACTACCAGTTTATTTCACTCAGAAAAAATTCAACATACCCATAATATCTGACCGCTTTCATTTTGAAGGTGGTGGAATTTTCTTTACATTTGTATGCAAGAACTTGTTTTATTCTACTTATTTCAACCATTGGGAATCTTGTGGCGACGTACGCTAAAAAGTTAAAAGAAGTTAGGAATAGAAAATCAATACCTTTCTTTCCCAAAAATCAATCTCTCCTAAAAATATTTGAAGTTAGGAATAATTTTGAATTGCCAATTGTTAGTATGAAATCAATGATGTTATCTCCAGAACTCGTATAATTCAGAAAAGTTAATTGCATGATCATAAATGCTACGACACTGAAGAATTGTATTTCTTTCTATGACTACTGAAAAATACATCAATTATTTGACTGTTTTTTTAGGTAATGAACTTTGGTTTCGACCTCCAAGTAATTCATTACTCAATACCTTCGAATCACAATCACAGTTGAACCCAATATACCATATACCTTCGAAAGCAATCACATACCAACAAATTCATCACTTTATAGTTGTGTTGGAATCATTTTCATTCGCAAGTCCCCCTTGAGATTTTATAATATAATTTTTTTTACACGCTTTATATTATCTTCACCTGTATGTATATAGGTATTTATGTTTGTTTGTTTGTAACTCTCAAGTTCGGGATCTGTATTTGACAGAATTATCGA